AAATTTTCACCTTCACATTGGGCGGGTTCGAGACTCTCGGTTTGTGACAACATAGAGGCACCAACCTCTTCTGTTTCGTCTAGAACAGTTGAAGAGTCACCTCTAACACTTATTTGTGAGTTTTCATCCGTTATCGCTGCTGCGTGGTCGCGAAGATTCTGAGCTGATAACCCCAAGTTCACGTATCCCACGTCATCCCATAGATCTTTCAAAATGCGCATATATCCTTTCTTGCGTCCGTTCTGGTAACATGGTGGGTTGCTTGAGCTTTTTAAGCTTAAGGCTTTTTCCCTGCATTCTAGTAAATCTTGATTCATCTTGTCAGTCCATTTTAACCTTCTTGGTTTTCCAGCGAGCGACCGACCTTCAGCCGCCCCCTCCGCCATACCAGCTGTAAATATTATTTTTGTCAAATGCATCCATTATTTCCATGGATACCTTCATCCAGTGGCAGTGGAACTATTGTTGTAATATTTAAATGCTCAAATACGGTAGTTATTGCCTGCCTAGAATTTAATATGATTTTTGTTTTTGTTCAGTGGCAACTATGGCTAGACTGGATGAAGCAGGTCCTTCAGACACTGCAGAAGATATTCTCATAGGTAAAATAAATGATATTAATAGATATTTGTCCAATTCACCTATTTATTAACATGGATCCCTATACCAGTTGCGGTACTATTGATTATTCACTTTTAATTCAGTTTTAATTTTACAGAGCATTTAGTATATGTAACAATACACTTGTTATCTTTCAGTTTTTACTCAGTGAAATGTTAAAGTATAATTCCCATTTAACTTTGAACATTATATTGTGGAATAACCTGAAATTTCTTCATATATTGCTCGTTTCGTTTCACTTTACATACAGTAACATTTCAAACTATGTACATCAACAAGTGCCTAATTTGTTTGATTTCATTCTTATTCATTCAAATAACATCTCTTAGTTTTGCATGTTATGATTGTAAATAAATCATTGTTGCGTTACATCAATCATTTTGACTTAATCAATACGCATATTTTATAACCTAGAGTGATTTGATTTAGACCATGAAACATTAACAATCACAGCATATTGCTAAAAGTAAGCAAAACAAAACATTGGAACTAGTGTTTCCTGGAATAATCTACTGTTGGTAACTGTTTCACAGGTTTAGTAAAATCACTCTATTGGTAGTGTCAAAGTAAAGGATGAATGGAGGTGGGACGTGGGAGGTGTCCTTATGGACAACAATTTCACCCCCCGCTAAACAAAGCGTTTCTCCCTATGGGCCCCAAATCTTTCATTACACAAATAGCGAAAAATGCACTAGTATGTATCACAGAAGTGAAAAGTGCTTTTTGCGCGCGTTGATTGGCTAGCTCAGAAGCGATAAGCAAGTACTATTAACCCTTTAACCCCTAAGAGTGACCACCATCTATTTTCTCCTGTTGATATCACTGCTTAATTAAACACAAGGGCTATGAGATTACAGGAAATCATCGTCAAGTTTGTGATGTCTTGATTGTTAAACAAATTCTCCATATCAGTATAATATAAAATGTATTGAGAGCAAAGCAGAAAATATGCTGATCTCTAAGGGGCCGAAGAGAAAAATTCCCACGTCCAGAGTTGAATTTCAGACCATTAATTTTTATTTTAATAATGTTTGGGTCCGCTAGTTATTCAGCTTGTGTGTTATATTATAGTAAAAATTTATTCACCTCATGATCAGTGTTGGTGAAAGTTGTGGATATTTACTTCACCGCTTCACGGCTTGGTAAACCACCACTATTCACCTCCACTTCGATGAATAATTGTTAAAATTATTCATTGCTTAAAATTTGTGTTTTTTGTTTTGGTTCACTGAATACTATGACTAGGTTGGACGAACCAGGTCCCTCAGATACTGATGAAGATATTTTATCAGGTATATCAGTAGATCTTTAGTATTTGTCAAATTTATCCATTTATTTCCTTGGATACCTACATCCAGTGGCAATAGAAATATCATTATGATATGTAAATGCTCAAGTACTATTAAATATTACATACATACATACATACATACATACATACATGCTTTATTTAAGGTATCATAAGAAATAAACGATACAAATAATACCCTAAAAAGGAAGTTTAAGAGTTTTACCCTATGTAAATAAACTTCCAAAAATAAAAATTAAAAATATATGCTTATGAATAAAATCTAAGATTTAAGATGGATAAAAACCTAAGAAATACGCATGTACGACTTAAGAGCTATTTTAAAACGTCTTAAATTTCCTATCTCAACAACATTGGCGGGCAGGTCATTCCGTTCACGAATAATGTTAACAAAGAAAGAGTATTTATAACAATTGCAGTTAGCCGATTTAACTTGCAGTTTGTAGTTGTGATTGGACCTGTTTTTGTGTTTTTTTGTGATTGGACCTGTTTTTGTTTAGTAAATAGTGGTGGATATTTACCAAGCCAACAATTTGTGATTTGCGTTTTTGTTTAGTGTTTGTCAAATTCATCCATTTATTTCCATGGATACCTTCCTCTAGTGGCAACAGAAATATCATTATGATATGTAAATGCTCAAGTACTATTAAATAATCACTACCAACAATTTGTGATTTTTGTTTTTGTTTAGTGACAACTATGGCTAGGATGGAACTAGGTCCCTCAGTTAATGCTGAAGATATTTCCTCAGGTATATTTGTAGATCTTAAGGTGACTCAACCCAGTTTTTTTGGCGGGGGTACCATCCTACTTTGAAGCTCTCTGGTATCCCCACCTTTACTTTTATCGGAAGTCTAACACAGCGAATGGATAACATATAGATCAATCTACAAATTTTTGGCAATCGGAGTAAATGTCACGTGGTTATAATGCCACGCCCCTTTGAGGTCTGAGTCGAAAATCTACTGTTGCCGGAAAATCTCTGGGCTACACATAGTACACATTAGTGCCTTGCGCTGAACAGAGTTTCACCAAAATCGCAAGGACTCAATTCAAGAAATTCAGCGGTTTCCACATTTAGGTCATAATTTATGCGAAAATGATAAGCAAACTTTACACGATTATATGTAATAAACTAAGAGATCCATCCCTTTATTTTGGGTATTGTTATAACAGATGGGTCCTTGCAAGTCAGCAAAAAGCTTTAGGGCCTTGTAAATGCGCACGATTTCGAACAAAGCAAACATATAGAAATAATAGTTTTAGCTATTTGTTGACGTTCGTCAGAGTCCTCACAAAAAAAGTATTTTCTTAAAAATTCGTAGTTTTTTTTTCCTTCAAATTTTTTCAGGGCCTCAATTGATTAGCTATCCGGACTCTGAATTTCATGGTCATTGAAAAACTGTGACATTATCTTCTGTAACCCCAAACTTGAGTAAACATTGAAGATTTTTAGCGTTTTGGCTGAGTTTGTGCTTTGGGAGCTGTCTATTGTTTCTAGTCTGTCATTATACAGCATTCTTGTTCAGCACGTGTGCAATGACCACGCTTGGCTGACTTCCGAATGCTCACCGAATTTAAGACCAGAAAATATTCATGAAAAACAAATTAAAAACTTAAAAAAAAATTGCAAATGGGATTTGGAAATTCAAAACAAAATTTTGGAATGATAGCGTCAAAATTTACAGTGGTACACTCATCGTAGTGGTCAAGTGGAATAGAATTATTATTATTATTATTTTAGTCAACCTTATCTGGGCACTACCGTCGTGATTTAGGCAGCAAACTTCCCCGTGCTCAACTTTTTTCTCAAGGAATTCCATCCACGAGAGCTGTCCCTCTGAATGGAGCTTTTCCAGTGGATCGCAAGTAGAACAAGAACTGCTAAGATGAATGACATCCAGAACGTTTCCTGTTTTGAGTGAGATCCTGGCAACAACTCCGTCTCGCGCAGACCATCTGCGGCTGCACCACGATCCATCAAAAGAAACAGCTGTGGTACAGTATCCTTCGCCATCAGCCCCCAATAGCTCCTTCAGTTCCCTGGCTGAATGTTTTAGTTCTTCGCAAACAAGTTCACTGCATGCATCGGCTATTATTTTGGTGTTTTCACACCAAACCGGCTTGCTTGAGGGCTTTGGTAGACCTAAATTGCTCAACGTTTTTGCAGCTGTCAGTTGTCCCCTTCCAATCACTCGAAAAGCAAGGGTAAACGCTCTGTTGATATCAAAAAGCTTTCCCAATTTACTTGAGGAGTTGAAAGGCATCTGAATGAGACTACAATTCTTATTCGTGCAAACAAAGCCCAATCTCACACCTTGGCCACTGCGCTCTTCGAGTTCCTCGCAAAACACCATGCACTGGCAAGATTTGCACACAAGTGACCTCTCGATTGCTCCATTCAGCAAATTTATATCAACTACAATGTTGTTTCTTTTCTCTGTACAGTCTTCTGAGTTGATTTCACAGCAAAGTTTCCGAGCGGAGACGCATGCAGTCGAACTTCCTCCTTTAGCCGTTTTACTTGATCAAACCATGATCCCTTGTCTGACTGTGCCAGTGTAGTGTTCTTATGCTCCGAAGTACTTTCTGTTGTCTTTCTCTGTTTCTTCCCTTTCCGTGTGCTAGTCCAGGGACAGTCCGATTTCCGTTTCATAGGCTTCATATTCCGTAGATGTTTTGATGATTGTCGAGAGTAAGTTTCCGAAGGGAGTAGAGTGTTTTGAATCATCTTGCTACGCCAGCACGCACTCTTGAAATACGACACTTGAGTGTTTTGTCACGCAATAGACAGGGGCTGTCAATCACTTTTCATGCGCAACTTATGGCGGGAAACAGAAAAGGCTCATTTTTGAAGGGTTAAAAAGCACTTTCTGATTTTCTTTTTCTGCCAAAATAAAATTTAGGACCCACTCATGCCAAAAATCCACAAAAAAACGAAATCGAGCAATGTACTAAAATTTTCATTTACCGAGACCTTAATTCTAAATCACCTTGCCCCCTGTTCCTAGCCAATGCAACTCCCCATGGACCAAGCAGCTTTGAGGAGCGAAAAGGGCGCCGCCCCTTCCCCACTGCCCTACCCCCCCTCCCCGCTCAGTCCCTAGCTCAGTTCGACGCTCGCCATGTTATTTGCCTGAGCTTGGTCCCAGGCTACTCTCGTGTATAATGAGATTGACCACAGGAAGCCGCAACATAAAAATTACTCATTTCGATGTTTTCGTAAAAATCGATGATGAAATATTCATACCTGAATTTACACTTTCAGTGTCACTACCTCCTTCCCATTCATGACTGGAATTCTCTGAATGACGTTTTGACGGAACGTGTTTCGCAAATGAGTTTGGAGATGTGTATTCCGTTTCCGATCCACAGTTTGGTAGACCGCATTGTTGTTGGAAACTATGACATTCTCGACGAACAGAGTTAAGATGAGACAGCAGTCTCAGAGAAAAAAACACAAGAAAGAACACAACAAACACTTCCAGCGGCGTGCCATCCTTTTCAATTGATCTAGTTAGATTGCACGTGCTTTGGAATGTTTATATTAAACAGTGTTGACAGATTTTTACGATAGGTATCAGTTGTCAACTTTTATTCACTCATATGACATCGTCTGCTGTCATGTCCCCGGGTCTGTCTCTGCTTTTTTAAACTTTTTGAAAGGTAAAGCACATTTCAATTCTGCTTTTATTTTGATCATTTTCCAACTACTAAAACGGTCCAGGAAGAATTGGACATGACCACGTGTCTCTGAACGACGAGAGGATGGGTCACCGTGATCCTGCCAATTGGAACCTGGGCACGAATGCACCGTAAAGCCGCTGACTTGTAAATTCTCGCGCCAGCATTAGACAAACTGATCAACAGTTAAGTGCGTTAGCGGTGTGTTGAGGCGGTAATCTCCTAAAATGAGTGATTTTTTACTTCCAACCGATTTTGAGGTTAACCTACCTCGATCTCCAGTTGCCCTTGGTCAGTGGCTCTTGAAGAATGATGTTACTGAAGAAATTTTTAACGTTTTGAAAGGTAAGCTTACGTGTTTTGGCGCAGGGTTGATCTGAAAACAATGTCGGTATTAAAGTAGTAGCGGTACGTGTTTAGTCTCATTTTGGATCATAGGAAAGCACTTCTTACAGCTTAAGTTACTGTATTTAATCACTATTTTCTGTTCTGTTCTTCTTTTTTTACGCGTTGTGTCAAATTTAGCGCTCAATGTTGTGTATAAATAAAAAATGCGTTAGCTGGCATTCATTAACTATGTTAATTTATGCGTTCCTTTTGGCGCCTAGGAGAAAGTTACATTTTGAAACATCGTTTCTGTCTCGTTCATCGCAGTTTTCAAACAGATGCATATATTAGTTGTTTGTTGATTGTAGTCATTTATTATTTTAGAAAATAGTGTTGATGGGCCAACCTTTCGAACAGTCACAGATAGAGATTTGAAGGATTTCTTACCTTCTTTCCTTCAAACGAAAAAAATCAGAGAATGGGCCCAGTCATTGGTAAGTTGGACACTTTAGCCGATCCTGCGCTGTAAGCTACATGTTCTGACCCACTAAACCATAACATTAAAATGCACTTCCTTCACACTGTCCTCTATACATTTCCTATGATACTGATAAGTAAAATATATTTGTAGACAAGATCTTTTTCACTTGAGGACGATCATTTCCTTTTTTTCATGGCCTTTTATTGACTGAGCTAGCAGTGTTGCGATAAGGGAGGAAAATGAATTCTGGTAACTTTTGACTCAGGGGCAAGGTTTTATTCAGAAGGGTGTCCCGGCACCCTGTGGATGCCCACATTTGCAAGATTATGTACAACATTCAAGGAAAATATTAATCTCAAAATTTTATGAGAAAATGTACCTCCTGGATGCCCAGTTTCCAATGTTGGCCAAAAGCCTGCTAGAGTGAAAGGGTTAGGTGAAGAGGTCATGCATGAGAGATTGTTTAAAGACCAAGTATAAAGGTGTCAAGCTATTATTAGGGTTGATTGTGGATGAAAGTTTCAATAAGAAAAGCTTATAGCGCCACAATATCATACATGTACATTTGCTAACTAGTGGTATTTTTAATGTTTGCCTTTTGCTATTACATGGTGTACAGGTTTCAGGTCAAAGATCTGTTGCCATAGGAGATGTGTCCCTTTCCAACACACCAAGTGAAAGTGAAAGTGACGAGGTGCTTTTATCTATGCTTTCTATCGAATATTGATTATAGAATGGGACACGTGTATTTTCAAAAGTTTTGATTCGCTACTATTTTCAAACATGCGTATCGCAATTCAAAGAGGCAGAAGACTGTCATGCTTTCTTTTCTCTCTTCCTTGTAATTACCAAGAAAGAAAAGAAAAAACAAAGAATAAAAAAAAGCCTGATAGTCTGGTTAAGGTCAGTCCTTCCAGGGACTCTGAATTTTTCATTGTTCCATTTGGGAGACAGACTGATGTAAGCATTTAGTTTTTTTGTTGTTGTTGACCACCAAATGTAACCTGTGGAGGGAATGCTAAATTAATATTCCATTACAATGAAAATATTAAGACAAGACAAGAAGATTGATTTAACTCAGCTCAGTTTTACATATACATGACAAACACTAGGTAAAATTTACATAGGTAACGAACTAGTCAGCAAAGAAAATCATTTTTACAGCTTCCCATTCAACTAGCCCCAAAAGCTTTTTGACAAGCAGAATTGATTTCACAGTTCTTCTGTTATTTGAATTCCTCAAAAAACATCACTTGCCCATCTGACAAGTTTAAACAGAATTCATTAGCCTGATAGCAAAATCCACTAGCCCCCGGGCTATCGGACACTACCTCCTTTGCATACTGCTAAACACAGTGCAACCAAGGAACAGAAGAAAAAGTTAATTGTAAGAACAAAATAGGGAGCAAGTTGGGATCATCCAAATTGCAGAAGCTAATCTAGTGGAAGACCCCTGCAATAAATTACAATTTATTTATTCCATTTATTTATTACACACAGAATTAAGAATGTATTTTTTTATAGAAAGTATTTCTTCTTGCACTAAGGCAGATAATTCATTAGAATAACTATAATTGGGGTGTATGCTTATTTATTAAGTATACACCCCTCCAGCAGAACTTGATTTTAAACTGGATTTACATATGTCGTTAAGGAGGCTAGAAAGCAGAAGACGAAAATTAAAATAATATTATTGTAAGTTAAACTACATTATTATCATCTACCTTGAGGGTGATGTAATTTCAGCTTCCATGGATTCACCTAGTCCTGACAAAACCAAAAATGTCAATCGAAAGGTAAATAAAAACATCATTTATTTAAACACTATAATTTCACAGCAGAGCTGATGTGGTCATGTAGATATTATATAACTCAAACTGAATAAGTAGACTTAAGAATTTACCTGGTTGACTTTTCACGAAATTATTTACTTGTACTATTTACTGGCTACTATATCTACAATTTTCTATTTACAATGCTTCTATTTTTACACTTTCTATATTTTACAATATCTAATTCTATTTACAACAATTACATTTGTGTTCACAAGAGGGAGTGAGCCAGGGAAAAAGGCCAAGGCAAATAGAGGCTGTAAGTTTCTTAGATGAACGCCATTTTCATTTCTAAGTAAAGTGCCTCTAGTTGTTTGCATGGCATACATATGTTTTCAGGATATGGCCTTTTTTTGAAGTTAAATCAAGGAGGAGGCTGTACCATATATCACAGCTGAGTGTTTAAAAGGCAGCTTCATAAATTTGAGACAAATTTGCATTAAGCCTCATTACTATACTATAAAAATTTGTTATAGCTCCAATAGCAACTTTCTCCGTCTGAATTGTGCGGTGTGAGGAAATAATATATCCATTCTTAACATTGCACGAAAGGTTGTTAGAAATTCTGTAGGAGAGGCTTTGGTTTTAAACCAGAAATCCTTTTCTTGAGGGGACGAGGTAGCATATATTTTCATGAAACAAATTTACAGTGTAGCAGTATATATATATATATATATATATATATATATATATATATCTTAATCACAAATGAAGACAGAAAACAGTTTTCTTTCAATCCACCTATATTTCGATCACATTCAGTGATCTTCTTCAGGGTGAAGACGGGGGAGAGAGATGCTTGGGACAATTTTTTATATATATATATATATATATATATTACAATTATTCACCGAAGTGGAGGTGGCTAGTATTGGATATTTACTGAGCCGCGAAAGCAGTGAGGTAAATATCCAATACTAGCCACCGACACTGAGGTGAGAATAATTGTTTTAGTATATGCTAAAACAGTGAGATAATAAGCCTAAAATGATCTCAAATGACGGTTTTTAAATCGTTTATTTACAACTTTGGCACGCAAATTCAACAAACATGCGCGCAGCTCAAAATAGTCACATGACACATCTGATAGTGAAATATTCATAATTTTGTGTTTAAGACTTTACAACCGTAAATGAAAGATCAAGCTATGCGAAAGGAAAAGTCCTGGCTTTACACCATCTTCATAGATTGTTCTTTTCGTTGTCTGTTACAAGTTTTATTTGCTGCTGCTTCCTCCAAAGCTCACATTACAGTTGAGATTACAGTTACAAGATTCTGTTATCCATCTTGAATGAACTGGAAGGAATAATTTGCAGTGCCCGTAGCTACTGATTGCGGCTGTCTCAATGACGACGCAACGGTTTTCTGAGGGACTGTAACAGCCTTGTCATCGCCACCAGCTGGATCGAAGAATTCACTTAGCTCATTTGACATTCTTTTAAACTGCTAGAATGTTGGCGTATCACAATAGCTCTTGATGCTTTCTTCACTTTGGTGGCTGGTTATTGCCCTGATGTACCGATTCTTGATGTTTGCAGCTGACAAAACCATCATGGTGGTCGCTCTGATCGAGTGGTTTGTTAGATGTGGCTTTATTCTAGCTCTTGATGTCATACTTCGTAGCATATTTTCAAGCGTGTTGTGGCCAAGTGGACTCGAGCAGTACCACACAAGATCCGTTGCTGGGTTAAACACTTTGCACGGGCTTCTTGGTTTCTGGAATAAACTGCTGCATTTGGGACTCAGATGTGACAGGTATTTCTCGATGAGTTTCACTGGGCAGGGTTTTGAGCCTGGTCTTTCAAATATTTTTCCGTTGATGGTTTTTAGTTGCCAACACTTCTCCGCGCTCTTTGTTTATTTCGAGATATTTTACACCATTTGGCACTTCCCCTGAGATAAGCATGTGTTTCTTAAGCAGCTGCTGGTTTTCTCGACCTCTCTTTCCGAGGAATAAACTGATGAAGAACTAGGCCGTCTGCTGTACTTTGTGTGGTTGGAGAGAATCGATGTCAACAAGCTGGCCTTTGTCGTAAAGTTTCTCAACAATTTCCTTTGTTAGGGCTTGTTTGTGCACTGTCGGAGCTATTTGGCCACTTTTGCTCAGAATTTTCAGAAAATTGCGGAGGGATTTATTGGCTTCATTAAAATGACTGTTGCCAACAATGGAAAATGGCTTGAAAACGGAGGACTTTTTAAGTGACGATCTAACACGGCGCGGATTGCGATAAGCTACTTTTTGTTGTAGTAACTGCCGTCATGTTTTCGTGCGGATAAGTAAAATTTTTGAAGGCATTTGTTAAGCTGAATTGGTGACGTCTCCTCAAAGGGAGTCTTGAACTCTTCTTGCATCTGAAACCATTCTGTAAAAAAAGTAAGCTTATTTATATACATGTCGGCTAACATAAAGTAACGCAAGACATAATTTGCATTTGTAAACAAAAAACTTTTACACCCGTTTCATCAATAAAATTCAGTTTAAACCATAGTTAATTGAGTGGAATGGTTATGAAACCCGTCAGACTCCTTTGTTATATGTTTTTGTGAACCTGAAAGTGCACAACGTTAAAAAGAATTCCTATCATTTTGATTGTATTGACCAATGAAAACATTGCATTAATTTATTCCGTAACAATTTGCCAACAGAAAACAAAGGATTGTGCACTTTCAGGGTGCTTCCAACATAAACTGCAGCACTGTTGTTTTTATCATTGATGTTTGCCGCTTTTCATAACCAGTCTCCTATAATAACTATGGTTAAACAGACAAAGCTTTACCTGTGAAAACTGCTAGACTGAATTTAGTCGCTTTTTTAGTGTTGTCTGGTATGGCCTCTTCATTTATTTTCGAAATTTCGTGGCTGGTTACCATGGCAAACTGAGACTGAGACTGAGCCATTTTTGTCGTACATGTAACGTGTGCGAGTTTGGCACCGCTCGGCTGGAGGCGAATCAATGAATAGTGCAGGATATTCTGAGATTGAGCAGCCAATAAGAGCGCGCAAAAAACACTATCCACTGTTTTAGCATATATATACATATATACATATAATTTGCACGGAAATTCTCTTGCCAGGAGAGGGGGTCTAGATCCTGCCCGCTTCTCAACTCCTTTAACGGAACCTCCCTTGCGGTTTCACACTGGAAATTAAGGATGGGCACTTATGGTTGGGTGTCGATCCAGCGTCTCAACCAAAACAAGCCATTCTCCGGACCGGTTTCGACTTTAATGTCTTCTTCAGCGGATTTTTTACAGTTTCAGCTTGTCCGGTCGCTTACGCGCCGTTGGACTTAATGCATTAACTCGTTATCTACAGTCATTTATATAAACTGTGCAATTAAATCATTACATCTATTACGTCAGTGTGACGTCAATAATTTGATCAACAAGCAGTTCGAGTTCCAAACGAAATGTTGTTTCATTAAA